AAATGACCCAGATCATGTTCGAGACATTCAACACACCCGCGATGTACGTTGCTATCCAGGCGGTTTTGTCTCTGTACGCCTCAGGTCGTACCACCGGTATCGTTTTGGACTCCGGAGACGGTGTCTCGCATACAGTGCCAATCTATGAGGGTTACGCACTGCCGCATGCCATAATTCGTTTGGATTTGGCCGGTCGTGATCTAACTGACTATTTGATGAAAATTCTCACCGAGCGTGGCTATAGCTTTACCACTACCGCTGAACGTGAAATTGTTCGGGATATCAAGGAAAAGCTTTGCTATGTCGCCCTGGATTTTGAAGAAGAGATGCGCACTGCTGCCTGTTCATCTGCTTTGGAAAAAAGTTACGAATTGCCTGATGGTCAGGTGATTACAATTGGTAACGAACGATTCCGCTGTCCCGAAACCCTATTCCAGCCCAGCTTCATCGGGATGGAAGCATCCGGTGTGCACGAGACCTGTTACAATTCGATCATGAAATGTGATGTCGATATCCGTAAGGATTTGTACGCCAATACCGTCCTCTCCGGTGGTACCACCATGTTTGCCGGTATTTCTGACAGGATGCAAAAAGAAATAGCCACATTGGCTCCACCGACCATGAAGATAAAGATTGTTGCACCACCGGAACGAAAGTATTCCGTCTGGATTGGTGGCTCAATTCTGGCCTCGCTATCCACATTCCAACAGATGTGGATTTCGAAACAAGAATACGACGAATCCGGGCCGGGAATTGTGCATCGCAAATGTTTCTAAATTGAACAGCCGACAATGTCTGAATAACAAAAAAGAACGTGGTATGTCTCATCCACCTGTACGAATGTGCTCGTTCTCCTTTTCCAGCCCATTCCACCAATAAATCTATCCCTTCTACAATGGTGTACAACCAGATATACTACTTGTATGTGAGCTCTGTATGCGTTCTTTATAATCTGCCATGTGGAGGGTAAACCGAGTGGATACTGAACGGAGGTTTGAGCATTCCGCAACGTGTTCGACTAACACTTGTATCTTTATTGGTGTTTTTATAATATTCATTAACACTTGATTCTAAGATGAATCTTCCCGGATCACTTGTCAATTTACTGACTGGTGTTATCAGTAAAGAAATGCTGATTTGAGCTTTGATCGTGAAGTGTGGTCAAAAAATAACTGATTTCAGTAGCTATTTCAATAGCCTATCTAGGATAATAATGATTTAGCATGTTATTAGCCACTCATTCAGAAACTCATCTCGAAACGATCGCAACTGTGCCAAACTGAAGCAAATGGGTTTGCTCTACAAAATCACAGTCTAAATGTGGTCTATTTGCGTGTTTGTTTGTGTGTAATCACCTGGATATTGAGTTAACTCTCCCCAACTCTGATGCCATTGCAGCCGTTTGGGCTGCAATGTTGAGTTGTTTGTGTTTGCTTGAAGAGGAACAAGAACTATGAATTCATGGGAACCGAGAAAATGACATATCGATCAACGACAGGGGCCACGAAGCAAAGGGAATCGAAAGTCGAAGCCCGATGGTGTATATTTTCGCAAAACTATCCTGATTTTAGTTTGTCTACTTGCACTAATTGTTTTTAGAAAGTCGACCAACCTAAGACCCCAGCAGAGTATTTCAGACAGAGTAGTGTCAGATAATGTTCGATCTTCAAGGTCACGTGTTATATCCACGAGGGTAGCAGTAAAGACTAAAAACTGGTTGGTTAGGGGAAAATTGTATTATTTCCTGAAAAAACATCGAAAGTTTTCCCCACTTAAAGCTCGGGAACAGCTGAAATCAAAAAGTCTGTCACAGAGATATCTTTTGAGACAACCAGTACCCGCGACCACGCATATATGGCGCACATGCGGAACAGGCCC